GAACTTAAGTTTATACACTGCTTCGACAGCTTTGACAACATCGACTGAGGAACGCAGAGTAAAATATGTAGAGTCAAGTTCATAGTTTCAAAAATATCGATCTCGGCATTGCCATATACTTCATAATTAGATGCACTTCGCGCTATGACTCTATAATTCTATGCACTGGATTCTATAACGTAGCGCTAAACTCTTCGCTAATGATGCTTTCGGGCCAAGTGTCTTCTAGTTTTTTTTTTTTACTCCCTTGCCTTTTATCCGGGGCACGTCTTCCGAGGCGAGCTGGATTCCTGGCCTGGCCGTGACCTCGCCCCGCTCACAGTCCCACCACCTGGCCTTGAGCGACATCAGTAAGACACCTTGAGACCTGTACTCACAACGCCGAACGGTTGTGCAGGCCGGTTGCCCGGCCACGGGGCACCTGCTGGGCCGTGAGCAGGTCTGTGCTCATATGGATGTGGCGGGGGACATCATACCGATGTCTACCCACCCGGGCCATGTGACCATCCCTGCCCTTGCCACCACTGCCGATGGACTTTGGACTTCTGGACTTTGGTGTGCACGACTTCACTAAAAACAAGACACGAGGGCTGCCATTGTCCGACGGGACTAGAACGGCTGCCGGAGCCTTGCTTTGGGTTCCACTCGTTGTCTTGGGCGACTTCGGACGACGGTCCGCTGTTGCTTTAGCTAGAGTGGTCGCTGAGCGCGAGGCTCCTTCTTTTTACTTGCTGAACAGCTCGTGCTGACAAAGACCGCACGCTGCAGCACGTACGTAACCTCGTCGTCTAGTTTTCCGTTTCACCGCTGTATTTTGTGTGTTTGTTCGTTTGATGAAGTTGTTTACTGGGACCGCCCGCAGACGCCAAAAAAAAAACAAAAAAAACAGAAAAAATAGTATGGCAACTAGCGTTGTTTGCAGTGTTTCAATTTTGTTTGAAAATTCAGCCAAATCCGAGAGAGTGCTCAAGAGGCGGCAAACCTCAGCAGTGGCGCTGTGCCACTTCGTGCGTGTGTGCGAGCTCGTACTGTCAACTCCGGTTCTGATGACTTCATTTCTCAAAATAGAAAATGGATTTGTTTCTCAAACGTCAGCTTTTACTTGTGTGAACACGATTAGTGCGAAAAAAAGCTGTTTTTTTGTAGCAAACAGTGAAACGACTTGAATCTTGTTTTTCTGCCTGCATCACGGGCAGCGTGATCATCGTTATAAGCCGTTGCAGTCTGACGCTTCAGGACGAGTTCAAAAGATTTTGTTTTCCATTTCGCAAATCCGGGGAGAGCGCCGTGCTCATGAGGCGGCAAACCTCAGCAGTGGCCCTGTGCCACTTTGTGCGTGTGTCTGTGTGTCACTCGTACTGTCAACCCTGTTTGACCCTTTGAGAGACAGCATGTCCAGTGGGCCGTGGCATATCAACAATATTTGGTTGATTAATTCATTTGTACTGAATTCATTAAAATGTTGTGTCCACTTAGTGGACACTTTCACCACTGTTTTTGTGTATTTGTTTTGGTTGTGTGTTTGTAGGGACCGAGAGCTGCTGCCGCAGCCGACGAGGCCCGCCGACGCCAAAAAAGTGTCCACTAAGTGGACATTGACACATTTGATCAATCATGTATGTGGATTTCGAATCAGCTTCAACTGCAAATCGCCAAGTAAACCTGAACATTGCCTTGGCAGCCACCATGCCCACACCATAGCTTCTGGCCATCGTGCCTATCGACTTTGATACGAGGGCTTGGCCCCACGGTGGGATACAACGTGCGGGCTTGAGCACTCATTCAAGACATTGAGTTGGTCCAATTGGTCCCTGCCAGGGCCCTAACCATTTTGCGCTCCAAGCTTGATCCGAAGACTTGGGTGTAAATGGAAAACCATCTTCCTTGCGACCAGCACGGCAGCAGGACACGCCATGTGCTATGGCATTTACACACGCCTTTCTCTACAAGTAGCACCCACTCAGGCTGGCAGTTCTTGTCGGTCAGGAGATTGGAGCATCTTGAGCCTGAGAAAAACTCACAGCATCAACCCTCCCTAAGTCCTTGGCGCAGAGCTGTGGCCCTGGCCGTCGCTAGCCTGTGCTGTTTGGCCGCTGCCGCTATGACTATCGCCGTTGCTTCTTTATCCATTAGTTCCTCCAGGCTTGAGCGCCCGCTGGCTTTTTGCCTTTGTCAGGATCTCTTGGGGCACTCAGGTAGCTTTGCTCGGCGTGCTTGGTTGGGAGCACCAAGCTCGGCCGTCGTTTGCATTCGACACGACCCGCATGGATATGCAACATGGGGAGTCGCCGTGCGAGCCTACTCACGATTGCGATTTGTGACGGCTCTGGACTAGATCTTTGAACCGCGGAGCAGCGGTTTGTTGACTTGTCGCCGTGTTGAACCCCGTGCATTCTTCCGATTGGAAGATGCAGTGATCGCACTGCTCGCACACAGGTGGTTTGCGCCTTGCCACCAAAGTCCTTGATCACTTGACCCACAGGAGCAGCATATTTTCAGCTGTGACCATTCGTGCAGGAGCCACAGCATCAGTGAATGATGTATTGGAATTCCGCGGTCTTTCAATTTTTGCTGTCAGTTTGGCTCAACAGAGGTTTAGCCATTGCGTTCTTGTTTGCCAGGCCTTACATGCAGTTCCTGGGATGCAGAAAGCACTTCAATTTTGTTAACCAGCTTACGTTTATGCTCAGGCATGGTCAGGTCTTCAGGTTAGGTTGCAACGATTGGTAACACGAAAAGGTTGAACCCGTGAATAGATGTTGCAATTTGTAGCAAAGGTCCGAATATGCTCGAGGCGGTGGTTTCATCACCCCGGCAAGGTTCAAGATGACCGTGGCGCAAGCTTGGTTGCTTCCGTCCTTGGCCGTCATCCAGCAGGCAGGCGTCATGCAAATCACAAACAGCAGCTTCTCCCCACGTTCATGTTGATCAGAACCTCCAGTGATTCTGGTACCGCATTATATTACATAACGCACGAATCTTTGGGAGGTCTACGGTGCTGACGTTGGAAAAGCGAGACTTGTGATTTCTCCGGTGCCTGACCGAGCAAGTTTAGCTGTTTTGCGTGGAGTGTAGTCCGCACAGTTTAAGCTCTCGGGTTGGGCGTTTGAGAGTTGAAGGCTTACAGGATTGAAGGGTTTTGATTGAGAGTGAAGCATGTTGGGCGGAGATGGTGGGTTCAAGATTCAGTCTAACCTCTTGCATCAAGTTTTCGGTCGCAGGGCTTCAGGCAAAAGCGTTTGGTTTAGCGTAGCAACGACTGTTCGGCAGAGCCCGGAGGCGTGTCCGCGACGCTACCGCTACACTGCTACAAACCCAAGCCACAGATGCATGAGAAGTGTACAACTCCTGTGATTTTGTTGATTCGACACAAATGCATGAGAAGTGTACAGTTCCTTTGTTTTTGTTGACTCGACATTGGTCGACTTGGGGAGCTCAAGCCGTATAGACCCAGGTGCCGGGCTCTGATAAGCATTGTGCACGCCGAAGACTAAGACTAGACTCTAGACCGTAAACTGATATTTTCATACCATGCACCCCAAGCCGTGTAGATAGAATCCTACAGCTTCATGAACCTTTGAGCGAGAAGAGCATGCTCAAAACCGTGAGTCGTAACCAAGTCGTACATGAACGCATCGTAAAGGACCGCGGCTACGGAGGAAATCCACACGGTGCTGAAAGGGATCAAAGCATGCTGCCCGTATGCCCAGGGACGACCGACATTCAAGCATAGCTCGGCAGACAGCCCCGCAAGAGAAAACCGGACCCTGAATGCAAGCGTAAGGAGCAGGAGCCGTTGGAACACCCCAGATCCACAAGCTCTCAAGCTGCGGACCGTGGTGCTGAACCCGACACCCTACATCTTGCTTAAGACTAAGCATGAAACCCTGAACTACAAGGACGGTGGCTGGCACCAGCCTGCAGCAAGTGGAGATAGCCTCCTCCGCCAGGGTCTCGAGGGTTTTGCGCGAGTGTGGGTTTGGGGGCGATTGGTCTTGGGCCATTCGGCTACAGTGTTCCGGCCTTGGGAATGAGGCAAGGCAAAACGTGTTGAGGGACAGAGAATCAGAGATCTGGGATGCAGGGGCTTTCTCATCTCCCAAAGGATGGCTTCCAGATTTTTATCCTCATGTGCTCTGGGGTGTTTAGTTTGAAGGTAATTTGGGTTCCGACACGACGTGACTGTTTCTTTCTTTCGTTTAGTTGTCAACATTTTAAGTTCTTAGTCACAGAAGATCAGCGTCTACAGCCCCGAACTCGATATCCAGGGCGTTTTTGCGACACAGCAGGCATCCTGGAGGGAGCGTTTAGGATCGCAGAGATGCGGTTTCGAGTTCCTCTTGGCTTTTGCATGGTCTTCTGCTAAAGGTGCTGAGTCCGTCGAACACGAAGACGCCAGCACAGAGGACGGTGGTGTTATGAGCATGTTGATTTCAGGTCTGCTCGGTTTCTTCCAGAGAATTCTGCTTCATGTTTCGGCAATCAAAGACACGATCCTTTTTGTTGGTTCGGTCAGCTGCAAAAACGAGGTGCTCTTGGCCCGAGTTTCCCGATGCACCAAAAGTAGATCAGCTGTAGGGACAGATCGCGAGAGCTGTCCGAAGTGTGTCGAGGCCAACTGTACAATTTGTGAGAAGATGTGTGCATTTCGCATGCATACATTCACCCGTGCATGAAACGCGCATGCACAGGCCCATTGGACAAAGAGACTTTGCCGGTTTCTGCAGTGCTTAAAGCGGAGCCCTAAACCCTCAGTCCGAGCTAGGCCCAGGTGGTACAGTACAAGCAGGTTGATGCTTTTGCCGTGCGCTTATGATTTTAGGGTGTGCGGTTTAGGCTCTACATTTCCGGTAGGAGTTTGTTTGCGGCTTTATGTTTTGCGCAGATCCCTCGTTCTCTCGAAAACTCAGATGGGCGCTTCTCGTAGGGCAGATTGTCACATCCGGCGCTTCCTGTGACAGAATCATGCAAAAAGCAGCAAGTTATGCTTTGTGGATCCAATGGCATTGATGATTCCGACGGTGGTGACCAATTTGATGGTGATGGGTCCTTTCATATTGTGGGATCACGCCTCAGAGGTGCAGGATTTTGATCAGTCAGCCTCGAATTGGGCTCCGTTTCGAGTGGGCGACTCTGCTGAGAGCTTGCAGTTTCCGGGTTCCGGGCCAGGAGAACTGGAAGTTGGTGCTGAAGGCCGGGAAGACATCGAAGCTGGGCTTCTCCTCTCCGTTGTGGACCAACAGCGATCTGCTGAACAAAGATTCCGCGGAAGACAAAGCAGAGGATGCCAAGTACGACGCTTTCAACACGGTGCCGTTCAAGAAGATTCGCATGTGTGTCGACGAACCGAAGGAAAACTGTGTGGAGCACGAGTTCAAGAAAGAGTATGACAATGCCAAAGCCTTGTTCAGCGGCAAGTACATTAAAGACACGAAGGTGGATAAAAAAGGAATCCTTAAGGCCTTCAAGGTGAAGAAGGGCACTTACCAGGACTGCCCCATGCAGAGGTCAGGGGCTTAGTTGTTCATGTTGTTTCGATTGTTTCGATCCTCCATGGCCGGGCCTTGTTCGGTGCGAGGCCTGGCTTCAACATCGAGTGCAACGGCGGCAACAAAGCTCGTTGGGGCTACTGCAACAACTGTGCCACCCAGGCGTGTCAGAACAACGACAACGACGATGCGGACGGCGCGATTGGAATTGGGATCGCAGGCCAGTCAACCAACGGCGAGCTTGGAGCAGGCTGGACTGCGTGTCACAGCTGCAGAGTAAGTCCGTTTGAGACAGATGACATGCTTCCAGCAGTGTGGTTTGCCATGCAGGATGATGAGGAGCTTCACGAGTTACTGGATGCTAATGTTGATGGGTTGAATGGTTGGAAGCTGGTGGTCGGAAGTTCAAAGTCACAGAACCAAATCTAGTGTTGGTTACAGTTGTCGCCTTACCTTCAACCTAAAGCTTCAGATAGGCCTTAACCAAAAAAATGCCGTAGCCCTATATGCCCTGATCATCCCCGACCCTGCAACTGCAAACCAAAGACTGCGAGAAAAACCTTCGGTCTGAAGTCGGCGACCCGACGGTCCCGAGGTACTTCGCTTCCCCGGGAGGGCAGTGCACAGCCAACGGCAAGACACACAAGGCTGTGCCTTGGCACCGTGCCGCTTTCGGAACGTTGGGTAGGGCCGGGTGACAGGTAGCAGTGATAGGGTCTAGGGCCGTCTGGAGTTATAAAGGTTTAGGGTCGAGGGTTCCAATGAGTTGAGATTTTTGAAGTTGAGGATTTCGGGCTATTCTGCCGATTTCATTCCAGACTGTTCAAGTCGTCAGTAGAGAAGGGACCATCAACGTATGAACGGCCGTCAGACGTTTGACATGGATCCGAGACAGATGAAATGGATCCGAGACAGATATCTATTTTAGTTTTAATATGCATCGAAACTTCGATGCTAGGGAGTTGGAAGGTCAACAAGCCACAGCCGAACCACTCATGATGTTTTCCTTCTCAACCAGCACCCTGGTGCGAAGGCAAGCTGTAAATGATCAGCTTAAGTAACGAGAGAAGCCCAGGTATGGGTGTGGGTCGCCGGACCACCCGCCCGGACCCCATCGTCTTTTGGGGTTGATGCATGTTTCGACATGTGAAGTTTCAGACTTTGCCCCCGACCCAGTGTGATAAGCATCATGATGTTCGCTGGCAGCATCGGCAATGTCGTCAACAGAACAAACTCAGTGACCCAAACTTGAGCCAGTAGTTGGTGGCCTGCATGGCATGTGAACGAAGGACAGTCCGCGGACATACTTGTTTTGCCCACAGCAAGTAGCAGTGGCAGCAGCAGAAGCTGTAGCAGTGGCAGTGACAGCAGCACTGGCAATGGCGGCAGTTAGTAGTACCAGCAGGAGCAGCAGGAGGAGTAGTAGTAGTAGCCCCCGTCGCCGTCGTAGGTAGTCGTGGTCATAGTCGTAGTCTTTGTGGTAGTAGTGGTAATTGTTGTTGGGTAGTCGTAGTAGCAGCAGCAGTAGCAGCAGCAGTAGCAGTAGCGGTAGCAGTAGCAGCAGCAGTAGAAGTAGCGGTAGCAGTAGCAGTAGTAGCAGTTGTAGTAGCAGTAGTAGTACTAGTAGTGGTAGTGGTAGTAGTAGTGGTAGTAGTAGTAGGAGGAGCAGGAGGAGCAGGAGGAGCAGGAGGCAGCAGCAGCAGCAACAGCAGCAGCAACAGCAGCAGCAGCAAAAAGCAGCAGTAGCAGTAGCAGAAGCAGTAGCATCAGCGGCAATAGTCGTAGCAGTAGCCGTGGTGGCGGTGGCGGGTAGTCGTAAGAGCAACAGTAGCAACAGCAACAAGCCTTCATGCCCCGTAGACGCAGTACCGACTGGTTCTTCGTTGAGGAAAGCAAAACGTCGCGGTTTAGAAGGTTGAGGCCACAAGCAGGCAATGAATCTAGCTGTGCTCTGAGGAACCGAAGGAAGAAAAAAGCGGCGTGTCACCAGGCAAGTATCGTGCGGTTTGGAGATTGAGCTGCTCAAACGGCATTCTTTCAGCTTGCGTGTTGTTGCTGTGGGTTTAGGTGGGTGGTCGGTCTGGCAATCCTAGACACCGATCTGTAAAGTGTAAAGCCTCGGGTTGCCAGTATGCCAGCCGATCTCCCCCATCCATGGAAATTGTCACTTGATGTTGGGGCACATACGAAGTGGGCAGCTAAGTCCCTTGCTTGTTTGTGGTAGAGTCTTCTTTTTCCTCCCCTTCCTTGACATTGGTGAAGGTTTGTACAGGTTGTGGCGGTCACGATGATGACCAGCACAAAGATCGTGATGATCATCGAGATGATGAGCATTGTCTTGATCGGCATCGCCTTGCATGCTTCACATTCAATGGGTTGGTTTAGTCGTTGTTGTTCAGATCGTTTATACTTTGGTGGCATCGACTTGCAAAACCTCGAAGTTGCGGCTGTTCTCGGATTCCGTGTGCCTGCCTCTGTCCCTCCGTCCCTCCGTCCCTCCGTCCCTCCGTCTCTCCGTCCCTCCGTCCCTCGCTTGCTCGCTCTCTCGCTATCTCTCTGTCCCCGTCCTGGCTCACTCGCAGTCTCTCTCACGCTCTCTCTCGCTTCCTCTCTTTGTGATGAGTGTTGTGACAGTCTGACAGTCGTCCAGTTGTTGTGTGGTTCAGTGTTGAGCTGGGGCAGGCCGTTTGTAAATCATTTCCCCAAACCCATACAGTACAGTCTTAGCGCCTTTCAGGCGCCCCAAATCTCTTACAGCTTAGCCCTACTCCAAACCCCGCAGGCGCCACCATGACTGCGCTCTTTCTCGCGCTGTGGGTTTCACTCGCCAGCTGAGGCACAACAGAGTAGCTTCCTCATCCGGCAAGCAAACGCAGCCCCGTCCAGGTCGAAGTCCAACATCAAAAGCGGTGTAAGGATACTTTCAGGCCTGCGCTTGCGCCGACACGAATCTCCCGGGATGCGCCCGAAAAGGCGATTGAAGTGTACAGTGTACGAGTGTACGAGTGTACGAACTACGATTTCACATTTTAAAATCACGTGGTTTTCAGTCGGGGTTTCAACTGCTTGGCAGAAGATTCATCAGTTACAAGTATGGGACTAAGCATTGCCTTGTGGTTTTCCCTGTTGCTCGCGCGATCTCTTGGTGATTTAGCCCTTAAAGCTTGAAGCCACAACCCTGGACATGAAAGCAAGCCCATGCAGACCTGCAGTGCCAAGATCCCCAAGCCCATAAGCCTGGCCCTAATGCCCAAGCCGGATCCTCGTAACAGCAACAATGGCAATAGTAGTCACACCTTGTTTTTGCTAATGCAGGTAACCAAACAAGACTCAGAAACCTGGCTTGTTTTCAAAGCCATGCTCTCGTATGGGGAACAGGACACCATAGGACCCCCTGGTGACTCTAAATCAAGCCTGGGAATGGCAGTGCTGTGCTCAGCCTGGACCAAAACAGAGAAGACAGAACACTTGTGCCCGACCAGTGTGACCCATGCAGGCTGTCGCATGTTGGTCTAGGTGTCTGGCTTTTTGCGCAAGGCCTTGAGCTCTAGCTTCCGAAGCCGGGGTATGCAGTCCTCACGAGCTCAGATGCTGACGAAGGGTTTGCATGGCTCAAGGTGATCCGAGGATTGCGAAGTCGGAGCAAGTACACTTCAAGCGAAACCGCACGGGCCATCCCACATCCCCGACTGAGCCCCCAACAAGAAACCTTGATCCTCGACCCTCTTACTTCTACTGCTTTAAGATCGGCATTGGGTTCTTATCGCTTGGCTAGGACTCATTGTTTTCAGTTTTCAAGCCACCTGGCAAAGCAGTCGCAGAATGCGCCGGTTCAGCAAACTAGAACCATCTTGACCCCGAACTGTCGCAAGCCTTAGCCAGGACTTCACAAAAAAAAAGACCAGGAGGGTCCAAGTTTTCTGGACAGCCATGCTACCACAATTATGGCCTGGTCAGCAGATGCCTCCTGGAGTCGGAGTGCCAGGCATTGTTCTGCCGGGTGTAGTCTAGGCCCTTTGTGTTTAGTTGGGAAGAGGCCGCGATGCTTTACGACTCCTTTTCGGCTGTTGCATTTGGTTTCCTGGCCAAACGTCACTATTCCTGTAGCTACGTCCTCCCTGAGGTATGGCTCGCGTGGTTCCGCCCCGCGATACATCTGGACCTGTTGTGGTGCCTCCGCCGGTCACGCCTTTTGCGCCTGTCGCTCCGATTGCACCGGTCGCATCAGTTGCACCTGCTGCGCCGGTTGCGCCAGTTGCACCTGTTGTGCCTGCGCCAGTGACACCTGCGACGGAAGCGGCACCGACAGGCAGCGGTGGGGAGGGTTTTGAATTCAAGGCTCAGGGGTTGAGAATGAAAGGGGTTTGTTTCTCCAGCATCCTGGGCTGCATTCGGGAGGAGCACATCGTTCGATCGGACTTAGTTGTAAGATCGGGATGTTGACTTGTACGAATTTCAAGTAATGCAGGGGCTCACAACGAGGTCTGCATTACAAAGACTGCGGGGAGCTCACCAAGTCGGATTGCCATTTTGTTCGCCTACTGAAGTCCACTGTAGGTTCTAGGCAGGAATGTTCGGGCTGGTGATTTGTTCAAGGTTTTTGCCAGTTATTTTGACCGAACCTACCGCCCAAAGCCAAGAAATCCATTCCGCAGAACATGCCGAGAGCATCCGAGGGCTATCGAAGCTGAACAGGCTCAGTATGGCTTTCAAATCTTAAACCATAGGCTGAAGCCGGAAACCCTATGCTTCGTATCGTGTTCATATTAAAGCTATGTCCTTGCTCCATACTCGCATGTCCAGACTTTCAGCTCAGCGAACTTTAAACCTCTGCTCCGAGGTATGGCTGCTGCGAATATACTTCTCATGCAGCAGTACTTTAGCCAGGTGCAGGCAGCGCGGCGCAGATTTGCGGGCAAGTGAAAATCTGGGTGAACGTAAGTAATCGGATTTGTCAAGTGGCGGCAGAAGCCACAGTCATTCCTGCGCGGCTAGCCCGAAAATTTTGCTGCGGCTGAAACTCTTTGTTGAACGCTTTTGGATTGTCTTAGCATGTAGTTGAGCTTTTGCGGCTCATTGAAGCCAGCAGTTTTTCCAGGGTTTTGTAGCCTGTGTCCCAGGCCGCCCCTGGACTCTGTGAAGAATTGATGGCTTCGGGGGGGAAGCCTGTCTGGGTTTGAGGTTTAGGGTTGGGCTCCCTTGTATTCTCAGGCCAGCCAGCTTCACCAGCTTCAGCTGCAGCATCAGCTGCTGCAGCAGCACTTGGCCATGCGTACCGCAGCGCCAGGGCTGGCACCAGGAATGGGGCCGCTTGGCTTGATGCGTGTGGCAAATATGTTTAACTTCTTTTGGGCCACACTACATCCGGAAAGGTAAGCTCGAAAGCCAGAGCCTTTCAACCTTAATGCACGGTGTCACCCAAACAATTCTTTCCTTGTTTACAGTGTAGTATTTACCAGCTAACATGTTTCAGCTTTGAGTTCATTCTATGGAGACCAAGAGCTCGGGTCGAACTACACGTCTTGGACTTGGGGTTTGCAGTAGAAGCCAGAAACGGGCACATGCCCTTTAGGTAAAGTATAAGGGATCCTACCATGTTCCAACTTTCTGGCTTCTACTACAGGCTGTTAGGGTTTAGGGTCGGATTCTTTGTCGATTACACAGCTATACGAGAGTCAAAAAGGATTTTTGCCCCCGGGAGTTGTACATGCTCGTTGCCATCTAAGTGTACAGAATAGACATGTGACATATTGCGAACGGACTGCGATGCCTTGTCAAGTTCTAAGGTGTCACTATAAGAGCTGTGAGCAAGACCGTGTAAAGTGCAAGAGAAGGGGGCACGCTACGCGTCCCTCGACTCTAAGGGGGCACGCTACGCGTCCCTCATCTTTACCTTTCTATGTGACCGCCCACGCAACGTTTGGCTCAAGTCAATGCCCATAGCTAAGTGCTATAAGTGTCTTCTATCCTGAGCAATCAGAGCTATCCCGTTGCACAGACGAACCGCCGCCGGCAGTGAGTGCAAAAGGAACGGCCGCCGGTTCTGCCTGCATAGGATTGCACGTGTGGAAGTGTGAGAGAGACAGGGTCCAGTCTGTGGAGAGTGCAAGCCAGCCACACCTACATTCATTACAGCTCTGGTGGGGAGAGCAGCAACCTAGTCGAGATCAATCCCCCACGCAGGTTATCAGCCGTACGCGGCTCTGCCTTTCTACAGCAACGACTACTTGATCTACTACGACCACAATGAACTCGGGATCAAGCCAAGATACGACAATGACTTTCGGTGCCGATGTGGCAGCGCCAGCCGTTGGTGAGTCAACAGCTGATGACACAGTGGTGCAATCCGTTGATAGCTCCACGGAAGATGACAAAGGTCAATCTTCTGCGCTTGCCATTGCAAAGGCAGTTCCCAAGGTGAAAGCAAAGAGTCTACCAAGAGCATCTACGCCTTCGCGTCCGACATCCACAGGTTCGAGGACGGGCAAGGCTCCCGAACGACGAGCCGAAGCGTCTGGTTTTCAGGCACCTCGGACTACGTCCAGGGCCAAGGACAAAGGAGTGAAGACCTTGGAAAAGAAGTCAAGACCATCATCTTCGAGAAGCTCTTCAGCACGATCGAGGACTTCGGTTACTCGTGGGCGTGACAAATCCATGACTTGGAATCGGATGGTTACCAATCAACCACGCGATGCTGACGATCTGGATATGACTCTGGACACTATTCCAGCACGTGGTGATGCGTCATCGGTGACCACGCCAGCCATTGCCGATGGTCCGAATGCCTATCAGGAACTGACGATTTCACAACAGCTCGAAGCATCGAACCTTGCGCAGCAGATGTACTATCGCAGTCAGATGCAAGAGTACGAAGGAGTTGTTCAGACCCTGATGGACAAGATCAAGGAGATGCAACAAGAAGATGAAGGATCTGGAATTCGCATTGAAGAATTGGAACGACAACGTGACCATGCATGCTTAGCCATGAGGCACATCAACAATGTCAATCAGGAGATGAAGCGAGACTATGAAACAGCTTTGTTTCGCATGGATGAACAGAACTCTGCTCAACAACGTCAAGCACATGCCGTTGCCGAGGAGTTAGCTCAACAGCTACACGTGTTTCGCACGGAAGCAGCCACTAACTTTGTGCAGTTGGAGGCAAGAGCGCAAGGCGATGGTGAGCTTATGGCACGTGAGTATGAGCGTCTGACTCATGAACTTCATGAACATGCCAGAGAGAACTTGGTCCTCCGGTCGAACACAGCAAGTTCGGAACAAGCCTTACAAGCAATGCAGGAACGATTCCACTTGGTCAAGAACCAGGAGTTGCGGGCCGTGAACGAGATCCAAGGGCTAGCTGGAAACAGCGCAGCCATTGATCAAGAACGATTTCGGCTTCGCGAACGTCTTGGTGAAGAGGAAGAGTACCGCAAAATGGCTGTGAGGAGGATGCAAGATGCAGAGGACCGACTTCATCAGAATGAAGATCATGCAAGGCGAGCATTGCCTACCTTGCACGACGAGCTGAGTGAACTCAGGAAAACGCTCAAAGCACAAGAAGATCTTCAAGCGAGGACACGCAGCGAATTGGAGGCAGCGCGAAACTCCAACTATGGAGGAGCGACACGGCCTTCAAGCATGCCCATGTCTTCGAGGACTACTGAGTCTGGCTGGGAGCACGTAGGAAAGGAAGTAGTGCCTGCATTTTCCGTAGGAGGTGAGGTACGATCCCCTGAAATACGGTCCCCAAGTCAAGTTAGTCCAGTCGCCAAAGAGAAGTTCGCATTCTCGGAATCGGACAAGGACAAGAACCTTGTGATGGATGGAATTCCATTTACCGGTGGAAATTTCTTCACTGGCCGCAATTCAATGCCAATCGTGGCGGATGCAATGCCCGAGCACTACGTGCCAGGTGTTAGCAGCCCAGCACTTGCGCGTTCCACGCCTAGTGCAGCCACTCTGTTTGGCATACCAAGCGGATTTCATGGGAAAAGTGATGCGGCAGCCGTGCGTGATCGACAGCTACGCGAACTCTTGGAGGATCGCGGGATGTTGGGATCGAAGTCCACAGCATCTGCCAGCTCCTCAAGACCTGTTGGTGTCGACGGCATCACCGCATCTACGAAGGGCAACGACCTCATTGGTCCCCCTATTGCCTATGACGATTCCATTCATGAAGCAAGGAGACGTCAGATCGAGAAAGAGGTCGCGGAACGGTACGAGGAGAAGATTGCCGATCTGCGAAGCGAAGTACTCAAGGCCCAGAAAGCCGAACAGCGTCTCAGAGCTGATCGTGATGAATGGAGATTATTCGCTGAAGCGATTCAGGAGGATAATGGAGACGATGACGGTGACGAAGCTGGCGACGAGAATGAAGATGGAGAGCATGAGGAAGGAACCGGCACGGGGTATGACCCTCCTGACCCGCCTGATGATGATGATGATAAGAAGAGAAGCGGTGGAGGCAAACCTGAATCGGATCCTGGCTCTCATGCGCGTGATCCTGATGGAGACGCAGATCCTGAAGTCACGGAGGTGAGGATTTCCAGGAGGGAGGCCGACAAAGTGACCGTTCCTCCATGGCCTACTCTCACTCACCTCAACAACTGGCGATCTGTATGCACGGCGAATGTCTTAGGAGCATCAGCCGATCCAAATCATGAGGACTGGATGTTATGGCTGGCACCTGCATTCAACCCATTCCCAGATGTCGAAGCACTGAACGATTCAGGACACAAGAAGTTCAAGAGCGTAGACGTCAAACTGGGGATCGCTATGGTCGCAATGCTACGCGCTGGTGGTGACAAATCTGCTGATCTGTACCTGGAGGTAAACCGGAAGGCCAACGATTACATCAGCAGGCCCGAAGGGAAGATCATCAAAGGACGACAAATCATTGCGATGATGTATGAAAGTTTTCGAACGCATGATCGTCTCGACATGATCATCACTCTCGAGTATCTGGTGAAGCTCCAGTACCAAGGCGACAACAAACTTCATACGTTCAAGCAGACGTGGTTGGAAGTTCTGGGACGGATGAGGCCAGAAGACATACCATCCAAAACAGCTCTCCGTGATTGCTTGTACAGCAAGATCAAGGACTCGCCCGCAATGAAGATGGAGTTGGGCATGCACTATGAACACTTGCCCTACAATCATGAAGACCGATCGTATGACAACTTGATGAAGATCATCGACCGTACCATCATGCGGAGACGAGAACAATCAAATCTCACTCAGACCCAAATTGGCTTGCGCCAGATGCTTGAGGGCAAGGATTTGCTTGCTGCACCGGCCAAGGTACCTGAGAAACCAACGCCTAACGCAGCTCCATCCGCAAAGGTCAAGGCTTCGCCGACCAAGCCGGATAAAGCAACACCTGTACTACCTCAAAGCAAAGCGAAGAGTCATGCGAAGACCAAGCCAAAACCAAAGAAGAAGACGAGGAGTGAGTCAGCGGACAACAGAGGTGACAAGAGCAAGAAGCAAATCCGCTGCAAGTTCCATTTCACAGATGCAGGGTGTCGAAATGGTGACAAGTGCCCATTCAGTCACTCGAAGAAGACTCCAGAGCGACCCTTTACGCCGAGGACGAGAACTCCAAGTCCATCTGGAGGAGGAGGAAACAGGATATGCTACTCGTTCAAGAACACAGGCTCGTGCTCAAGAGAGAATTGTCCTTTCAAGCATGAGGCAGCAGCTACCCCAGCTCCGGAACCAAAGGCAAAAGCTAAAGCCAAATCCGAAGCAAAGGCAGCTCCAGCGAAGCCGAATGCCAAGGCCAAGGCGCTCCCTGCGGCACCCGCCATCAGATTGTGCCGAAGGTGGAATCCATCAGCTCCGGCGATATGGAAGCGATCTTCAAGACAAGATGAGGAGGAGTCAGATTGTCCATCCGTTGACAGCGACGCTGATTCGGATTGCTCAACAGATGACGAATCCTCGGGACCGACTACGTCGACCCGAAAAGGGATCAAGCGTAATGTAACATTCGCCGATGACGTGAAGTTCATTTCTTCGTGTCCTAGAAGATCGAAGAAGGACAAAGAGCGGAAGGTGAAGTACGTCGACATGGAAGCGCTTGTCAACGATGAGGATCGCGCCGTGAATTTGGAATTCGCCAAGCACAAAGCGAGATTGAGGGCACAGATCATGAGAGACATGGTTGACGACGATGATGATCAATGCGGAGATCGAGTTTCATTCGTACGAATCCCAGGAACGTCTCGGGTGGAAGAAGTCTCCTTCTACGACGGTGAGGATTCCATCGTTGAGCGTGAACTCGATGCTGCACACAGCAAGC